TGCTAGATGGTCCACCGTCTTCACACGTTCCCCACAATTTTGGCACATGCTTTTCTCACCTCCAAACATATTTTTGTCTTGGAGATGATAGTATCGTGCCTCATCTTGCGGGGTAATGTTTCCATATCGCAGCAATTTTGATGAATCAACTATAAACGAGATTTTATTCTTCCGCATCTTGTATAACTTTGAATAGTGGGCTTTCTTTTCTATTTAGCTATGCAAGAACGCCTTCTAGGCTGATAATACGTTTTCAACGGTAGGATTTTCTGCGAGGTTGTACTTAGTCGTTAGATAGGGTACAGTAATTGCCAAGTTCGTGTCATGAGCTTTCTCCTGCTTCAGAATCGCTGACCTTGTAGTACAAATGGGTGCGGTATCTACAAGAACATCATGTAGCTCAAGAAGCACAAGCTCACTCTTCTTCTGCTCAACATTAAGAAGTCCACGTCCTAGCTCGTCCCTTGGCCGGTACAGTCTTTCCAAGCATGCAGGTTGCTTATGAATTCCGTATTTGATTAGTAACTGTCTGATGTCTCCCACGGTCTGTCAATATGCTTAACGCTTCATGACAGTCAAGCTTAAGAGCAAGTATGAAACTCATCTCCCTCATACATTCTTGGCCTGCTTTAACTCTTTACCTCCCAGTTTTTCGCCGGCCAAAGTTCGTTCTATGATGGATTTGTGGAAATTCAACAAGCCTATCTTCTTTTCTGTGCTTGCTTTCCACCCGGATGGTCCTTCTCTCGCTGCTTGGTTTACTGCTCCAAGTATGAGCGGGTCTACGCTCTCCGATGCTCCGCGTCCACTTTGTCTGGTTTATCTCACGTCCCTGTGCATCTTGCATCAGCACTAGATGTTTTTCCTTCACATCTAGATAAATCTTTTACTCGTGTAGAGTATTTTCTTCGAAGTGCGCATTTCAGTTGATTCATCAAAATGGCTGTGGTACGGAAACATTACCCCGCAAGATGAGGCACGATACTGTTATCTCTAAGATAGAAATATGTTTGGAGGTGAGAAAGGTATGTACCAACATTGTAGGGAACGTGTAAGAAGCGACGTGAAGTAATCCTGATTGAGGTTGGCATCACTAGGTAGGCAGGTTGACAGCAGTCAAGTGCGAGAAAAAGCGAAATTATGACCTACTTGCTAATAAGCTTGAGTTAGAGATGAACCAAAATAATTCCGTATGTGATGACTTGGGATGGGATGGGATGGTAACGAACTTCCACAAACACTATGCGAAGGAGATCAGTATATTAGTCCACGTCGAGGCCTACATCTAGTCGATAGTTCTCAAGAAGACGCTCGAAAGCATCTTCTTTGACAGTCGATATGGATTCCATGAGGACGAAGCGACAAATCTGAGCGTGCAACAAGTACAGTCAGAGTGCCAGAATGCGATTCAGCGCCAGAAGCAATAAAGCGACAACAAAAACTATCCTCCATATAATATAAATATATATATTGCATATATGACAAGAGAGAATGACGTACGTACAAAAAAGAATGACGACTGTGCACAACTGTGAATAATTCTCCCTCTTTTTCTGACTCTTCAGGGATTGTTTTTGGAAGTCCATCTTTTGATAAATCATGAAGACATTCTGCATAGTCACATTTGTCTTGCACTAATTAACTGTTGCATGTATTTGCGAGAAAAACGTTAAACATTTAAATTTAGCGCAGGGAAACTATCTCCTGGAAAGAATTTTTGACAAAAGTATGTGTTGAATTCAGATTTTTAAAGTTCATTGTTTGGCTGAGCTTCAGCTTACTGATCCATGCAAATAAATTCTCGATATTGTTCTGGTATTTTCAGGTGCATCTTCTGACATTAGAAGTGTAGCGCAGCCGATGAATGGGTGCGTCAAAGACTTCACCTCTTCTTCTTTGTCAGTTCGTGAGTATGAATATAAGGTAAAGTAATACTTATTTTCTATACGATGAAAAGGTATGAGAACTTCATATCTATATTCCAAATATGTTATGAGTCTGGTGAAAATTGGGTTTCTGTGAAATTTAGTAATCTAAAACAAGAAGAGAGTACTAGACTTACTACAAAGATTTGTCTTATTTACAAGTTTTTATCATTTTCTCCTGATATTGTTCGACCAATTCTTTTTATGCAATATTTTTTAGGAATCGCTGCATAAAATATATCCTCTGTTCCTTCGCACGTTCCCATTTTTCTATTGGTTTTCAGGATGTTCTCGAAGTGGATGTCAGTACGGAAATAATTTGTGTAAGATTTCCATGCTTTTCATTACATATCAGTGTCGGTGATTTGTTATGTTTAGCCGAAGGCGAACTATTAAATGGCACTATCATCGATTTTTATCTAAATCATATCAGATGCCATCTCATACAAGATTCGTGAGTTTTATTCTGACATGATCATTCTTGTTCAATGTCATGAACTAAGTCATAGTAAAATAGATTTCTACTACATTTTTTCCAGCTTTAAATCTGATCAATTCTTCATGAAAAGTATTGAAAACTGGAGCTAGGGATTTTGTGTGAACGAATTTTGATATTGAGCTTTTTATATTCTCGGTGTACAACTGTTTAAATTTTTTTAGTTTATTGTTCAATTTTTTAGCCCAAGTACTAGTTTATTGATGAAGTCGAAAAATATGGAATTTTTCAGTTAATATTTTTGAGAGTTAAACTAGACTTACAAATCCAGACAGTTTTATTCGAACGTCTCTTAGGATAGAATTTTCATCATTCGGGTACTTTATTAATTGAATTCGCGAATTTGCACTTTACACTAACTGTTTAGTTTCGAATACTGTTTTGTAGGACATTGCGAATTCATATATTTCCGTCACTGTTTTGGGGCAATTTGAAAATGTGGATGAGAATGATGAGTGCAGAAAATACAGAAGCGTTCACTGTTGAAGAAATTGGCTCTGCCAATGAAGTGAGTATTTAAGAGTGAAGATGCATAAAGTTTTTATGTTTTTTTTCTTGATTCTAATCTAGATATTACTATTTTTGGATTCTGAGGATTGTTTTGTGAAAATTTGTTTTATCATATTTTATAAAGAATGTTTCATTTACTTTCTGAAGGACCAATAATATTTTTGTAAATTTAAATTTATTTTAGAATCCAGCTATACTTCTTTTGCCTTAGTTTTTTTTTAAAAAGTCATTGGACTTGTGGTAGTGTAAGTGCTGTTCTTTGATGATCGCTTTTTATTAGGTTTTCTCTAGAAACATTTTATTTATATTCCGTTTTCAAATATAATGTTTAAGGCGTTGTTATTATTAAAGTTATTCATCTTCTATGAATTTTCAAGGTTTTTTCGTTCAACTTTGAGATCATTTAGTGAAGTGCCTGTTTTAATTGCCACTTTCTACTTTCATCTCCATCACATGTTATAGGTCTTGAATCCTAATTCTGTTCAGTACTGGCTTCAAGAGGAAGACATATTTGACTCAGATTTCTTGGTCATTCCTGTTAACGAATACAACCACTGGTTAGATACAGGATTTTTTAAATGTTTATTGTAAGTTGTAATGCTCTCTGATCTGGATACAAATAGCGAAAAGTTATGTTACAACTGTCTATAATCTCATTAACTGATAATGATTATAAATTGTCCTATTGTATAATCGAATAATTTTCCAAATTTTTCAAGAAAATAGGAGCTAAAGTTCTGTTATACTCTCACTTATTTTAAGCATTGTTGTGCGAATGCCTGCCATGGAAAGTGGAAAGACTTGGTTTAACTACCGCTTGATTTGCATCATAATTACCGATTTTTCAATTTAAGGTCTCTAGCCATAATCTTCATCTCTTGTTTAACACCGCAATTTCCCGTTTACGAACCACTAATTATAATGTTTGATTCTCAGCAGGCTGTTGAATTGCCATGTACAGAAGATGTTACAAATATTCTCAGAACGTTCCTCTTTGTACGTATTTTTAAATGCATTTTCTTTATGAGTTTTGCAGCTTTGCAGTAGGCTCAAAAATAAAAAAATGGGATTTTAATTATGTGCATTTATTAACGTAGCAGTCTATTGAGCATTATAATTATTCTGTCAACATGTGTGGCCGAGTATTCACCGTAATTTCAAATTAAGATGTCATGTAATACATTATTTTACTATGACAAAGTTTGCTAGTGATAATCGTATAAATTTACGAGTGATAGTCATTAGTGATATGATATTTTTCTCTTCATTTCTATTTTAATCTAGTTTATTTTAGCATACTTCCAAGTTGAGTACACGAAAAGAAAATCTGGTGACAAAGCATATTAAGACAGTTATACCAAAAAATTTGCCTCAGCAAGAGAATGATGTTGACTGCGGGTTGTACATATTAGAATATGCACAGCGTTTCTTACTCCAGCCCCCTATCAAGGTCTTTATTTGAAACTCCCTTCAAAAGCCTAGGGCTTGAAGTCATTGTTTCTAAATTAAGTTTCAGTAAAATATAAATCCTTCTAGTGAGAAAATTATCTCATCTGTAGCAGGTAATTTCTAGTTTGAAAAAATTTCTTTTTGTAGGATTTGTCTCTTTACAACGAATTCGATTTCTCATCCCATTATCCAGATTTCACTGTGATATCAAAACGTCAGAGCATTCGTAGCACATTATTTACGCTTTGTGCCGATAGTAAGAAGTGGTCATATTTCTTTGATGTTGAACAGTAAGTGGGATCTGCTGGAATTTTGATCCATCCAGGATACCGTTTACCTGTTTTGAAAATATAACAGTTGTTACTGCTTTTGTTCTTATTCCCTTTAGTGCTGACTTTTAAGATAAAATATTTCTTGCTCAGTTTCAGGTACGAAACAGTCCTGCACTGAAAGTTATCTGGTATGAACTTCGAGTGTGTTTATGAGGTTTCAGCACGTAAAATCTATATTTACCTACTTGATCAACAAAAATTTTTCATTATACTCTACTAATTCTGTAGACTGTGATTCTAAACTTGCTCTCTTTCACAAATATACATGTGTGTAAAACAATATGACTCCCGAACTATTAAGGGATGAACATCTTAGTTCCAAGAATTTTATTTGTTTCTGCTTTGAACATCCCTCATACTGCTGTGTATATAATATTAATGCAAATCCAGTTTCGACTGCATACAGTCATAAACTTGTCAAAGTCTTCTGTTCCCAAAAATCGTGGTCTAATGAAAATGATGCTTAGACTGGCGAATTGTAATTGATAGTACTATTTCCGTACATTGTACTGTCAGTACACATACCTATGTAGAAATATTCAAATAACATTTGCTGTCAAACACTATGAAGTCTAAGTGAATACATTCCTACTTTGGATCTGTTCAGTCTTGTCAATAAAATTTTCGGTGGCACTCCAGTCTTATCATGATGATGGATGTTTAGAAAATAGCATCTGAACATTTTAATTGCAACAAAACTAATCGTAAGCAATAACATACTATACACTTGGTGAGCAAGTGTGAATGGTCAGAACAAAATACATAGACCAAGTACGATTTATATGCATTCGGATCAGGACAGCTGTGTAACAGATAAGAAAATTTCAGACTACGGACACTGGGAAGCACATCTTGATGAAAGTCTTAGCAGCAGTGAGATCCTTCACTTTTGGGAAAATAAGCTACCAGCAAGAGCACATAATTCTGAAACAGAAGTGTTTTTAATAACACGTGAAGTACATATTGTGTCAGGATATGTTTATCGTAATTTATACTTCAATAATCATAATGGTAGTTCGGCTCTATAGATTAAATCTCAGAATCTGAATAAGGTATAGTCATTGAAAAAGACCAGTTATCAGTTCGCGACTTTTTTAAATATTGTATCTTAAGGCTACTAAAGTAAGTAAAGTGCATGATACTCCGGAATTGCACCTAATTTATAAAAACTTTAAATTCAGGATGCAGCCTAATTTAGAAAATTAACTCAAGCAATGAAAGCAGAGATAACAGCAATAATAATAAGAAATAGTAATAAGTATAAAAATAATAGCGAATAATAACAATTAAAAAAACGAAAACATTTTAATCATTTGCAGAGGCCTTCATAAATGCGGTTAAGGCTGACGACTGTGTTGACCCACTATTATGCATCAATAATTCTCTCTCTTCGCAAAGTGCTACAAAGTATTAGGAATGATATAATACAATCCTGATTTCAATTCTTTATAAATAAAGAGAACAGTTCACTAGTTGAAATCTCATCATGCAAGTACTAACAAACAAGTTCTCTTTTCTATTTCTTAAAAATAATATATATTTTTTATCAGAACAAACCAATGGTTGTGCCATACTGCTTATGCGATGGTGCATACATAGCTAATAATAAAAGCACATATATATTCCACATGCCAAAAGTACCCGTAAAAAAAGCGCTCGACGAATGTACAAGTAAACTTCCCGATGGATCATCACTGTGTATTTGTCCTTCACCATACTGAAGTAAAACAATTTACTTACCATCTTGCTGACAAAAATTTTAGGAAATAAATGATAGGAAAAAAACAATACGTATATCTAAATATAATATTGGCCATTGTTATTTTCTAGTCACAAGCGTTCAGATATCAAAACTAGGTAAAGAATCAACTATGAATAAGTCAAAAACTAACTAATTGTATTTTTATCGAATAAATATACTTGTAAGTAACTATGCACAATTTTTACTCATATGACTTGTTATATAACTTACGTTTCACTAAATGATTTGATCTATCAAAACTGCAATCAATTTCTAGTGATACAGATTATAGAAACAATATGGAACTATCGACTTGATATGACTTCGTAACTGGTAGATTTGTTTATAATCATTTAACTCTATCAACTATGATGTTAAAAGAAACCTGTTTCATAATGTAAGTAATTACAGTAAATGCTGCGCATACTAGCGTAAAACACATCAAAAATTTGAAACGATAAATTATTGCTTCAACCTGAAATGAGGATGGACTTCTAAAGTTTCAAAATTTTACAAGAATTTTCATCATGTTTTGCTTGATACAAAATGATCTTCAGCTTATCCCAAAAATTATCTTCATTTCGTTACTACAAACTTTAAACATTCAAAAAGAAAATGATGCCTTCAAACGCCGAACTACGCTGCTTCGATAAAGTTGGGCTGCACGTTTTCGTTTAATCGTCATCAAAACAAGATATACTTTATAAGCCAGAAATATGAAATATGTTACAACACAACAAGAGGCCACGTAAATTGATGAATACTAAAAAAAACATTCAAATACTGGAGAGCACTAAAAAGTGATAAGTGAAAGAATATAATAATTCTTAATGTCAAACACAGTGAAATGTTGAAGTAAGCATATTTTACGTAAGATACTAGCAATACCTGATGACTGATGGCATTTACTTACTTAATATGTGGGCAAATTTACGTGAAATTTTATATGTAAAGACTGATTATAGCAACCTGATAAATTATACATAAGTACAAAGTTTGCAATTCTGAATAAAAACATACCGCCAAACGTGAACCAAACTTTGACGACCAAATGCTAAAAAATGGATTCAACAATTGCATGCCACGTTCAGCTACGTCATAAATCAAAAAGCACATCGATGCGACCAAAATAGACGTCAAGTTACGCCAATACGAACTCTGAAACTAATTTTAAGCCAACTAATCAATTTTCACATTACTCAAGTCAACGTTTTACTGGTTTAATTTCGGTTATGCCGTAATGAAGGCTTAACATCAATAGTGATATTAATAAAGATAATTTTTCCTACAAAATTTCTGAAAAAAAAGTAATTACTTCTACTGTTATCAGTATGCGCAACTATTACTATTATTAAAATTCTTAATAACCATATTAGTGACTGTAGTAGTAATAATAGTAATTATAATTGCTAAATTCACAATAACAGGAATAACAATAATTATGTGAACAATTATATACATATCCAGAGTAATGAAATATTCGGATGATCTGCGTTAATTAGTTCAGTGACAAAAGAAATCATAATTTCAAAAAGCAATGATTTCAGAAACACATTTTACCAAATTGTTTCTTGAAGAATCGTCGATTAAATGTTCACCAGCAAAAATAAGCCAAAAACTGAATAACATAGCATAAAATAAACCTTGCCTAATATCACCAACAAGAAGCATAAATGGTGCCCGGGACCATAATGAGATCCATTCTATAGGAACTAAAACACCTCTATTTCCGATAAAATGAAATCCAAGTTCATAAAGAATATTGAAACTTATAACGTATAACTGTAATATTATTATACTTGCACGAACTAAAGTAAAACAATTTTTACAGCCAGTCACTTTAAAATATACTATTTGAGGATTACTGCTTTATTTATAACAGTTAATACAATTTAAAATTAAATCAATTGCTCCGAGTTTTTTTTTTCAATCTTGTCAATTTATTACAGTTTTCAGTTTAACATTTTTGAAACTGATTAAGTTGAATAATTTTTATAACAAAACATACAATCTAAAATAGCTAAACTTGTTCCTAGAGCCATTATTGCTTTTTCTAACAAATAAGAGTGCCTATTTAAAGCTACGACGCGTTTCCAAAACCATATCACAGCAGCAGTAACCAACGGTGACACCACAGTTTTCATCACTAACCAGACAGCTGTAAACCCACCATTCTGATGTATAGCCTAAAAATTAAATTTACCTCATAACCAGTCATTACCTTATAATCAGCCTAAATGAGGTAATACGTAAAATAATAATGAACGAAAACTGTAATACGTGATTACTTACAATAACACGTAAATCATTTATTCTTCCAATTGCACAGTTTGGTGCATTTGGTTTCTCCCGACAAAGAACTTGATTGACCGGCAACCGAACATTAATTAAATAAAATGGATACGGATTAGAGCCCAGCTCGAATAAATCCAATGACGGACAATTATACAAGTGACCATCATGTTTCTGAAAAGAAATTATTTTCTGACACGTTCGCTATGGATTAATAAATTAAATAATATCATCTACAATAATCAGCCAAAAACTCGTCTATAAAAATGAATAGGTAGAAAGAACAGCAGGTGAGAAAAAAGAAAAAAAAAGATTATAAAACATTGGAATAGTTGCAACAAAACAAAGCATAAATTGATCTAATAATGCTACATTGAACAAAAGGTTATACTAAAAAATTTTCCCCTCATGATAACTAAATAATTCTCATAATTTTAACACTAGATAATTCTCATAATTTTAACGCTATCATTTAAATGTCACCATTCACAAAAACTTTTTCGCAACCAAATTAATCCCCCAACATCTGTAGAAATATTATCTCAATTTTTTTCATTTTCATCACAAATTTTTTATAAATTACTGCCTGCAGTAACTGATAAAAATATCACATTAAATTCATACGGTCTCAGGAGGAATGCAATCAAGAGTCCTAGTAATATTTGTCGCAATAAATTCACGCCATTGATCTGGTGGATCAATTTGTGTCTTATAGCCGAGTCTAACTTCAAGTTGCAGTTTGGCACTTCTAGCTGAAACAAGATACAAAAAGTTATAAAGACATAATTGTCTCTCAGGTGACGAATTTATTTTAAACTTCTAGAGATAATTAGGTTCAAGAATACGCAAAAATTCACCTCATATGTTAGTGAGCAATTGATCATAAATGTTTGGAAAAATATTCAAGTTTCAATATTTCATTTTTTTGCAGTATTGTAATTTGTCAATCAATCTCCTGAGAGGTATTATTTTTTGGTTATATGTGCTAACTTCATAACTATTCGCTGATTATTCATTTAATTTACTTATTTCCATATTTTTCAGGTCTTTCGCTACGGATTTAATTTTTGACTAGAATGAGAGAATAAGAGAAAAAACAAGCAGCAGAAACGGAAACAATTATTTAATTTTGTATAAAAATTCAAATCACGCATTAAGTTATCATTTTAAAAAAAGTTGATATTAAATTTTTACCAAGCGTGAATTTCGAATCATATTCAATATCCACTTCAAGTAAAGCAAGTAAAAACTGAAACCATGAGGAATATTCCAAATCAATGCCATCGCGTTGATGAGGCAATTGTGCTACAAACACAATATCACGCATGTCATGATACTGTGGTATGTAATTATCGAGATCATGGATTGGATCACAGTTCTGAAACAAGACACGGACAAGAAGTATTACAGAATTTCACAATACTCAGGCAACAAAAATCAATCTTTATGAGTGACTGACGAAGATTTGATCAGACTCGAATTAAAAAATAAAAACTAGCCGAAGGCCTTAGATAGAACCATTTGTTCAAATTTCTTCCACCTTCAGCATCTTTACACTTTACCATAATAAATTCCATTGATGTTGATGGCTGGGGAGCTGAAAGTTTGTGATTAATTTTTTTTCTGGAAATTGGAATGAAAGATTTTACGGCAATTTTCAGAATAGCAAATTTTACTGTCTTAATAACAAAAAAACAGAGAGACTTCTTATCATAAAAAGATAGTTTATACATTTCTTCTGGCTACAGCAGCAGCCTGCACCAAAAAGAACAGCTGAACTGAACATAATGAGATCAACGTGAAAACGAAAACCGGAAATACATAACCTAACCCTGTTTGACAGAATTCAGAAAAACTAATTTCAAGTAATATCAATATACTTACAGCATGAAACGCCCAAGATGAAAAATATTACAAGCGCTACTAAAAGTATGACCAAAATATAGCACAATTTACGATTACTCAGATTCTCGATCACTGCTCCGGACATTTCTCTAAACCATAAACTGCAATTTTATGTCATTTTGCTATGAAGGAACAGATGATAAGATGAAACATGATCTCATCCCAAATAACAAATGAAATGAAATGTCAACATCATTAAGCAATTTTTTCAGTTTGACGGGAACAAATTTCATATTATTCTGATAAATTCGAAAATGAAAAAAAAATGTTAATCACTCAGTAGTAGAAATAAAAAACATGACTGCACAAAGCAATGAGCAACATATTGTGTGAAACGCATGTCCGATTAGTTTTTTAAGATTAGTAACTTCCTTTTATTGCCATTATTTTAAATCCCAAACTCGCCATCAAACTGTTTTTTGTAAATCTTCCCCATTTTCACTTTTTTAATAGTCAGATAGTTTCAGAAATCATCTATGCACTGCTACAAATCACATACTACGCTGGTATCAGAACATATATGACATGAACGAATTCTCATCGAAAATGAAGCTAATCTGATGGAAAATTTCTTACCCTGTGATGCAAAGAAATGTGAAAATATAGAACCTGGTATTATAGATATGAAACTTTGAAACTAGAAAAAACAACATGGAATTCAATTAATAAATAAGCATAGGTAGAATAAACAGATTACTAAAATCAGCAAATTTAATTATTTGCTTGTAGCTGGTTAATTAATAAAATTAATAACCAAATAATAACTCGTCTATACTGCATATTGTTAGGATGCAATCTTTATTGCCCTTACTTCACTGAGCTTATAAGATAAAAAAACTCATTAGGCTAGTGTGTAATGCATTGAAAAGAAAAAAGTTTTTTTTAATAGTTAAATAGAACCTTGTTCATACAAACCAAAAATATGATAGCTCTTCTTCAGCAGCATATGACAAGAGTAGGATTCAATAAATACTTACCAAAAAGTGATTTCGTGACCAAACGAAAAATTTATTTATTTGAGTGAATCACGCAGTTCACAAATACTGAAAAACATTCAACTTACCTTCCTTTTCTCAGGTTTCTTAAAATACTTTCTGCTACAGTGAAGACAAAATGATGATCAGACCAAATGCGACTATATGCCGATGAAAACCGTTGAAAACTGTGACATTAAAAACTCAGTTCACACAATGAACTTTAGTAGTAAAGAAAAGTTCAAAAAAATAATAAAATAGGAAAAAATTTAATAAACACATATCCGAATGAATGCCGTCATGCGAGTTATGGTGCCACAAATTTTAAAGGTTTGCTACAACCGATATTTCCAAAATAAAAATAAAAAATCATTATTTCTGCCTTCAGCGAAACAAGTGGAATAATGTCGACATGTTAGAAATAAGATCAAAGAGCTGTATTTTTTTATTTAATTCAACATTAAATGTGAAATCTCACCACTAGATAAGGCATCGCCATTAAGAGCAAAATCATGGTTTTAAACTGAACTCTAAACTCTAAGCTCTCTGATCAAAGTGTCAAAAGTCAAAATACACTTTGAATAATAGTTGGCCTTTAGTACAAAACTGAGAAATTTAACCAACTGTACGAGATTTGCAGTAACACGTAACTCTTAGCTTCACCAATAAAGAATTCTTGTTTAAAGTGTTAGCAAAGTTAATAATTTTAAAAATGTGGACCTTGATAAAACAAATAACGGCAATGATAACAAAGCTGTAATTATAAAAGTTAATGTTTCCGGCCTCATAGTCAATACACCACTGGTATTCACACCTTCACATCATGGTTGTTTTTCCAACCTTATTAGACTCCGGTGATAAGAACACATTTTATTTTTGTGATTATTTGAGACAATATTTGTGACTTGAAGTCACAAAAATGTTACTGATATAATGTATATAATTTAAAAGAAAAGTAGGTTGACTACATGAGTTCAATTAGTCAAATTTCAATGCACAATTACCCCAGAATCCATTATATTCAAAACAATTGCATCTGCTCCTCATCTACATACCTATATATTTCAAGAATACCTAAAATTCAACTGCATGAAACAATCCATACAATTAAAGGTCAATACTGCAAGAGTGAATCTATTAATAATTTAGAAAAGAGCTGCAAACAGACCCTAGCCAAGGCAAAAGAGTTAAATGAAAGATAAATGAAATAAATGATGAACTGGCAACTTGTACTGCGCAAAATAAAGGAAATGAGATGCTTATATCACGCATACTTCTATGCATGATATGAACGCGAATGTGAATGCGCATGCGAATATCGAGAGCAAAAAGTTCAGTAAAAGAAATTGGAGGTGAAATAAGGCAAATTTGTTAGCATGACAATAGTGAAAGAGGTGAGAGGCAAAGAAATAAATGAAGGAGACAATTTCTCAGTATAGTAATCGATTACAATCTCTAGGAGAAAAAGGACGAAAAAGGTTTGTAAGATATAATTTTGGCTGCTTTATTACTTGTTACTTGTTTGCTTGGCTGAATTGTGTCAAGAGAAATAAATGTCGACGGGGAGAGACAATTAGCAAATATCGAAAAAGATGAAAATATGTACTAATAGATCTTCATTTGAAATCAGAAACGAGTTGAGAAACACTACTTAAAAAAGAGAAGGAAGAGGGGCATAAAATTTAAACAAGAGTGTATTAAAGAAGGAACAGAGAGAGCACATATTGTGAAGAGAAGGGGAAAAAGAAGCAAGACAGCAGTGCGAACAAAATAGGAGTGGTGCGAAAAAAGTTAGCGTGAAGAATGCAGAAAAATGTAGTGTAGTTAGTAATGAAGAAGAGAAAGGAAGGCTACGTAACGCAAGGAGTAGTAAGTGAAGGAAACGGAAAAAGTGAGCGTGCACAGAAGTTAATTCGCCATGCAAACTATATAAGATGCAAAATAGTAGGCTTCAGTAGCGATTCATTAATATGGCTGCAATATAGAAACATTACTAGTCAAGACAGTGCGCGATGCTCTTACCTCCAAAATAGAAATATATTTGGAGCTGAGAAAAGTATGTACTCACTGTAGAGGGCGTGTGAAGACGGTGGCAGCCTAGTGCGAAAGACTGCTATATCACAACTCTACTAGAAGACGCGTAAGGTGCTGCGATGTAAATCACAATTATACTAGAAGCCACATAGAAGTCCATGTAGATCTGAAGGTATTCCAGCGCATGCAAAACCATTGTGTAATGGAGATCGTCGCGAATGAGACTTTGAGATCACAGTCGATAATTAGACGATCAACTACGGTAGAATTTTTTCTTATATATTTATAGTAAAATGTGGAAGTTAGTTTTAATTTTCGCTTTATTGGTTTTGGCGCTGATTCTCATTTGGCACTCTGGCAGTACTTGTCCGGCACTCTGATTTGTTCCACTCATCGCTCTCGCTTCGTCCTCGTGGAATGCATATCGACTGTCGAAGGAGATACTTTCGAGCGTCTTCTTGAAAACTG